TAAATACTTGTTGTATCTCTACTATTTTGCCAGCACTGTGCTAGGCTCTAGGAATACAGTAATGAACCACTCTTATAAGTTCCCTGCCCTCATGGAGTTTTCTGCCTAATAGTCATGAAAAAATTAATTAAAAAAATACTTCTTAAATTACATTCATGGTAAGTCCAAGGAAGGGAAAACACAGGGAACCACAAGCACACAGAGCAGGGAGACCTAACCTAGTCTGAGGGGCCAGAGAAGGCCTTATCTAGGGAGTAGCATTTACAGTGAGACCCGAGGAATGTGGAGTCATCTGGGTTGGGGTGGGTGAGGTATGTGAGGAGGGTTTTGGTGGTAAAGGCACATACTACATCCACTTTATAATAAGGTTTAAAGTTAAATAAGCTGATCTATCAGGAGTCTTGGACAGTGCCTGACACATTGCAGGTGATCAATAAATGAGCATTCCCTTTATCCTGCACTGACTCAGGGTCCTTGGGAGGAAGAAGAGATGGAAGGGAATCCTAGTTAATTTCACACTTTCCAGGAACCATTTTGTGATCGGCGGTCAAACTCAACTCCTCCTTCCTTTTCCCAAGCCTTCTATGGAGCAATTAGAACAAATGATGCTGGAGGAATCAAAGAGTGTCAGGTTTGAAGGGACCGCAGAGATCATCTGTGAGCCTACGTCTTCATTTTACACAAGAGAAAACTCAGATAGAAGGAAGTGAAGTAACTCGCTCCCAGCAGCCTGGCTCAGGTGACAGCTGAGTAAAGACCAGGCTCCTGGTCCAACTCCAAGGCCAGGCTCTCTCAGCTCTTCTCTGAAGCTGAAAAATAAGTTAAATATCTTCTTTTTGGCCCCTGGGAAAAAAAATAAACCTAACCTGTTGCCATTGAGTTGATTCCAACTTATGGTGACCCTATGTGTGTTAGAGAACTGTTTCCCATAGGGTTTTCAATGGCTGTGATCTTTTGGAAGTAGATTGCCAGCCCTTTCTTCCGAGTCACCTCTGGGTGGATTTAAACCATCAATCTTTTGGTTAGCAGCTGAGCACTTAACCATTTGCACCACACAGAGACTCCCATGGAAACTGGAGCACAAATACCAAATGATCAGGATAAAGAAATCTGCATCCTTAACAAGAACAGGGAGCCCTTGTGACACAGTGGTTAAGAGCTCAGCTGCTAACTAAAAGGCTGGCAGTTCAAATCCACCCGCCGCTCCTTGGAAACCCTATAGGGTAGTTCTACGCTGTCCTGTAGGGTTGCTAGGAGTCAGAATCAACTCAATGGCAATGGGTTTGGTTTTTTGGTTTGGTTTAAGAACAGCATTATCAAAGACAAGCCTACTTATAGTAAGATGAAGTTATGGAGAAGCAAGACAGACTCCTCTTATCCCCTTGGAATAAAAGCTGATAGGGAAGTCTAACAAGGACCAGACACATGGAGACACATCCCCACACCTTGACGAGGTGGGTCACTGCTGCCAAGTTTCCAACCCTGTCTGTTTCCCTTTCAGCTGGCAACACAATCAGAAGCCACACATCTTGCTTTTCCAGATCCAGAAGTCCTGCACCCACAAAAGAGCACGAATCATGGTATTTTTGGAGTTTAGACTCTCTGAGAGATTAAATTCACCAAAGAAGGACTCATTGTTTCAAAAACAGTGGGGAAAAGGAAAAGTCATTTGTGGTACAAAGGATGGGCTATTTATATAAAGGATCCAATTTCTTTTTTCTACCCTTTCCTCCCAATGAAAAACAGTCTACTGACATTTAATTTATTTCTCTTAATGCACTATGAGTATCCTCTGGAAATGAAAGATCCAATTAAGTTATGTTCTCCCTAACGCAAAAGATGAGTTTTGTAGAGGGTTCAAAGAAAAAACTGAGAAAGATGATTAAAGGTTTGGGTGATAAGGGCTAGGATGAAAGATTCAGGGAAACTAAATTCTTTCTGAAGAAGGTCCTCATTTTCCAGAAGGCTATCATAACAGATGCACCTTCAATAGTGAGGGTCAACCAAAATACCATAAGCTTTGGCTACAGCCCAAAGAAGGAGCCGTGGTGGTGCAATGGTTGAGCACTGGGCTGCTAACTGAAAGGTTAGCTGTTTGAACCTACCCAGTGGCTACACGGGAGAAAGACCTGGTGATCTGCTTCTTTAAACATTACAGCCAAGAAAACCCTATGGGGTAGTTCTACTCTGTTACGTGGGGTTTCTATGAGTCAGAATCAACTTAGTGGTACCCAACAACAACAGCCCAAAGAGCTAGAGTTAGCTGCCAGATGAACTTCCTGGAAGTAATGAGCTTTAAAAGTTTTTTTTTTTTTTAAATAAAGTTTCTAGAAAGTGGTTGCAGTTTCCTCTTAATTTAAAATAAGACTGGTCTTACCTATGTGAAATAGGCATGCGACTCTCTAGGCAGGAGCTCCCAGGAGGAGTAAAATCACCTCTTCCCCAAGGTCATGAGCCACAGCAGAGCCCTGCTGCCCTTTCTCTCACTGCCAGGCTGATGAGGATTTTGGTTGCGTTTGTTCACGCAACTCTGCCCACAGAACAGACTGAATATGGGCAGCAGTAGAACAAGTCTCCCCCTCTCCGCCCCGCTGAGGAAAGACTGTTGCTATAGAGTATCCACCTCCATGGTCCATCCAACAGGGGCCATTGCCAAGGGCAGTGGAAGTGTGTGGGGTGGACCTCAAACACCAGACCAAGCCAGAACATCTGCTAGCTTCAGTGACTCACTGAGAAGCTTCAGAGGCTTTACCTTAGAGACTGCTTGGGACCTTGAGCAGATAAAAGAGGCGGATCCCTTTAAACTCAAAGGCCAGTAGTCCAGCCATTGGATTATAGCAACTAATTATAGCAATTAGTTATTTAAATTGAACTGTCTTGGTTAGGGAGCACTGGTGGTACAGTGGTTAAGAGCTCGGCTGCTAACCAAAAGATTGGCAGGTCAAATCCACTAGCTGCTCCTTGGAAACCCTATGGGGTAGTTCTACTCCATCCTATAGGGTCGCTACGAGTTGGAATCCACTCAACGGCAACAGATTTGGTTTTTGGTTGTGTTGGTTAGAATCAGTAGGTCCTGTGAACTGCAGAAGTTTTGTCATGTGTAAACATAAATTTGGCTTCTGATCCAGGTCCTAACCTTCCCAATCCTGTCGAGGGTTCATCTTTGGCAGAATATGAAAAACAAATGATGCAAACTCTCACGCCTGCTAATAAAGGAGGAAGAACAGCACAAATAAGATAAAAACAATGGCTAATCAAACAATCATGCAAGCAGCTGTGATGAAATTAGCCAAGTGGGGGAGGAACCAGAACCCACTGATGGTCTTGGTGCACTCCCAGCTGGGAT